TTTTACTGCATTCTCCCCCTTTTCTTCTCTTCTTTCATCTACCTACCTCTCCTTGACCCCACCCTATCCCTTTCAAGTATTCTTTTCCTGGTGTTTATTTTGTTGAACTATGATTTTGCCTTTCCTAGGTATTACAGTTACTGTTTTTCCCTGAATCTACTATATTTCAGTTAATAAATTTTTATATTCTTCCTTGCATACTACCTAACATATTTACTTGTTTATAAACTAATTCTAGCTTCCACATAGGAAAAATTTGCAACCTTTGTTTCTCTAGGCCTGACTTACTTCATTATCATTTTTACAGGTCATTCCATTTCTTTGCAAATGATGCATTGTCATTCTTTCTAAAGAATGAGTAAAATTCCATTGTGTACGTATACCCGATTTTTTTGATCCATCCGTCATCCCTTGCGGGACATCTGGGCTGAGGCCATACCTTGGCTATGGAAGTAGTGCTACAATGAACATGGTTGTGCTGGTTGTTTTAGTGTATCCTGGTTTATAATCTTTGATAAATGCCCAAGAGTAGAATTGCTGAATCATAAGGTAGTTCTGTGTTTAATTTTTTGAGGAACCTGTACACTGCTTTCCAGAGCAGTTGAACAAGTTTACATTCCCACCAACAATGTAATAGATTTCCCTTTGGCCCACATTCATTTGTTTTTTAGACAAGGTTTTGCTGTATAGCTCATGCTGGCTTTAAACTGGTGATCCTCTTGGTTCATCTTCCCAAACTGAATGCTTAAAGCCAATAGGCCGAAGTTGTGATTGGAACAGCTACTTCATTCCCCATTGCTTTGAAGACTGTCACTTTGTTGAGGAGGTCAGTGCTAACTGAGATGTTTAGATAAGAGGGCAGGTAGAGTTTTGAGAGACACTAAGCATCTCCGCTCTAAAATGGAGTAGGTAGAGCTTAGGAAGAAGTTTCTGGTCTGGTAGCTGCCCTCTTAAAGTGGAGGACTTTTTTTTTTTCAAGTTCTTTAAAGACTATAATATTTTTTTGAATTCTTGTTTCAATTGAATTGGTTTTGCTACCTTGTTAAAGGCACACTAAAAATGGCCTCTTTGTTTTTGATGGGGGTGGTGAAGAAAGTTTAACTCTTAAAGAAAACCAGAAAATTGGATTTTCAGCTACATTCCTGCAGAGGTGGTCAAAGTACAAGGGTATTTTAGGAAAAGAGCAAATACTTGGTGTGTAATACTTTTAAACATTCATTTTCCTAATTACAATGAACTGTGTTGAATTGTTCTTTGGTGCTAATTATTGCACCACTTGGGTATGTGAACTGTTTTTAATTTAGGAGAACAGTTTGAGGTAAATGCTGTTATTCAAATAGCATTGAAACAAAAGTGACTTACAAAAATATTTCACAAGCCCAAGTTAGAAATAATTTCACTCCCATGGTTTCCAGAAGAAAAAAAAAACCTGAATCTTTAGTTGTGGAACAGCAGTACAAGCTGTTGTGCAATTTCTATAATAACAGCTGTCAAACTGGGTGAGGATTGAGTGAACATTGCTTCTTCCACTAGCCAACTAACTGTGTGAACTATGCATCCCATAGCCAGACAGTTAGTAACAGAGTGAGTGCTTTGTGTGTTGCTATGGGTCGGTCAGCTCTTGGCACATTAATTTAATTTTGAGACTATTCCAGGCTAGAACCCCAAAGTGAAGCTGTGAGAAGGTAGAATTCTCCCTCTCCCCTCTCCCCTCCTCTCCCTCTCCCCTCCCTCTCTCTTCTTCCTCTCCTTTTCTCTTTCTCTCTCTCTCTCTCTCCCCTCTCTCTTTTTCCCCCTTCCTTCCATCAGTCGTGGGGTTTGAACTCAGGGCCTGAGAACTGTCCTTGAGCCTCTTTGTGCTCAAGACTAGTAGTGCTCTACCATTTGAGCCACAGTGCCACTTCCAGTTTTTGAGTGTTTAATTGGAGATAAGAGTCTCATGGGAACTTTTCTTCCTGGGCTGGCTTTGAACTGTGATCTTCTTGAGTAGCTAGTGTTATAGGCACCCGTGCCCAGCTCACTTCTCTCTCTTACAGAGTAAAGAAAGATGGACTCACAATGCTATCAGGAGATCTGGCAACAAGGATAAGAAAGAAAATAGCTAAGACCTTTATTTTTCATTGACTTTTAAACAAAATTTAACATTAAAAGTAGTAGGAACAAAGGAAAGGATGATGTTGACCAAGAAGCACTGTACTCATAAACTGACTTAAGAATTGTAATCCTTTGTACAACTCCTTAATAACAACAACACTAATAATAAAAATTATAATCTCAAGCAGAAACAGTCAGATAAGTTGATGTGAGGTGAAATGAACCCCAAGATAAGGATTCAAATTTTTTTCTTTCTTGAGATTGTTTCTAACATATTTATAAGATGGTTTCTTTGTTGCTTTGTATGTCCCTCCCCCATGGTAAAACCCCTGCTTTCACTGTATTTAATGTTGATATACTTTGTAGAGGGGAAGGGAAAACACAAATTGTTTAAATAGGGATACAGGTGGACCCATTGCAACAATAAGCTGTATAAGACCTTATGTCAAAAAACGAACTTTACAACTTTGGCGGGAGGTGGGGGATGGGGAGGGGATGGGAAGGGGAAACAAAGGAAAAGGCAACAATGCTTGATAAGAAATGTACTCATTACATTGCCCATGTAATTGTAATCCCTCTGTATGGTATTTTCACAATAAAAAATTATAATCTTAAAAAATAGTAATAGGCAACAATATATGGAAATCATAGATACCCAAGAATTATAAGATAACTTGGAATATTGTTTACTCTATGAAAATAGTTATTGGATGGTCTGTTGGACACTATTTGGTATATAAAGCAGCACATGGGGCATTATTTTCACTGTGGCATTGGGGATTCATGCCTGTAATCCTGTAGGATCACAGTTTGAGGCCAGCCCGGGCACAAAAGTTCACTAAACTCCATCTCCAAAATCACTAGCAAAAAACAAGACTGGAGGTATAGCTCAAGTAGTAGAGCACCAGCCTAACAAGCGTAAGACACTGAGTTCAAACTCTAGTACTGCCAAAACGAATAAATTTCATGAAAAGCAAGGGAAGATTGAGAAACTTTCATAAACCATGAAAATTCTAGCAGCCTACCTCAGTGGGTACCCCAAATTGGGTTTTGGAATAGAAAGAAGACAACAGTGGAAGAACCAGTGAAATACAAATAAAAGTTTATTAGTTCATAGTAATGTGCCGATGGCAACTCTCGGTTGTTTCATGTAAGATACTCTCAGTAGAGCAAATTGGGTGAAGAGATCAAAGGACATTCTGTAGGTCTGTAGCTTCTCTGTACATGGGCAATCACAGGGAAGTCCTGATGTGAGCTCCATGGCTCATTTCCAGAGACGTGTGGCATGGAGGTGATGCGTTAAGGCCATTGTGACCCAGTCCAGTTACCACTGCAAGGAATTGCAGAGAAAGAGAAATCCAAACAAAACGAGAGAGAAGTTTCCAGAGAAGGAACATGATGTAGAGCCACAGCGAAGGCATGGCTCTTTGGTCAGAGTTCAAGGGTCATAGTCTGGCTCTGGTTTTGTGATCTGGCACCAAGCTACCCCTTGGCATAACGGAGCCATCCACACAGCCTTGCCAAGGACATTGTGAGGACCAAAGGTGATGTACTCACCTCAAAAGTTGGTCTTTTTTCTCAGTTGAGCAAGCTCAGTGCTGACTGGTGATGGTTTGTCTAAGGCTCTGCTAAGCACCCAGTGGACGAGCTTCCACATGGTCCTTACTGTCTTTGTCCTTTGACCTTTGTCCTTAGAGCTGGTATCCTCCTTTTGGTTCTTTTTCCTGTAGTTGTTGGGTTCTTTGGACTTCATAGTATCCAACTATCGAGAAGGAGGAAGAGAATATTGGACTGTCCTCCAGGTCTGATCCGGTACTGTGGCCCCTTCCACATTCTGTGAATTCTAACTGTGTATTTCAGCTGTTTCATTGGGGGTAATTACTGGATTACTGAAGGCAAAATTAACCACTTTTTTTTGTCAATTTCCCAGCTTTTAGAGAGGAACAAAACCAAAGCTTGAAAGCCATATTGCCTCTTAAAAACACAAAGTAGGAACTGGTGCTGTGGCTCAAGAGGTAGAGCACTAACCTTGAGCTGAAGAACTGAGGGACAGCACCCAGGCCCAGAGTTCAAGACCCACGACCGACAAAAAGCAAACAAAAAAACAAACAGAAAGTAGCCAGGTGCTCATAGCTTATACCTGTAATCCTAGCTACTCAAGAGGCAGGGATCTAGAGGATCATAGTTTGAAGCTAGTCCAGGCGGAACATTCCAAGAAACTCCATTTCTAGTTAACCAACAAAATGCTAAGCTGTAGTTGTGACTCAAGCAGTTGAGACTATACGCAGCATGTACACCCTCCACACACAAAGTGATAAATAAAAAACTATCAAAGGCCATTGTGATGTTCACCTGTTTCATAATTAGGATTTTGTTCAGATATTGTACTACAGAATACAGGAGCTGTTTTCCTCCCGTGATCAAAAAGGAAATACCATCTACCTATCTATCTGTCTGTCTGTCTGTCTGCCTATATCTAGTTTCCAGTTACTTCATAGGAATGACTACCAAAAGGTACCCCATTAAGTATTACTTTAGCTTTAAGTTAGTAGTGAGCACAGTTTCCACAAGGAACATGGGTAAATGGGTTTGTCTCAGAATGAGAAGGAATGGGAAGCGCTTAGCAGGGTTAGGCTACTGTGTAAGAGGGTCTGTTAACCTATGACTTGTCTTATTTTTTTCAGTTTTTCCCCTACATCCTATTGTTATTTGCAATCCTCCTGTACCTGCCTGCATTGTTCTGGCGCTTCACAGCTGCTCCTCACCTTTGCTCAGACTTGAAGTTTATCATGGAAGAACTTGACAAAGTTTACAACCGCGCAATTAAGGCCGCCAAGAGTGCACGTGACCTGGACCTGAGAGATGGTGCCTGCCCCGTTCCTGGTGTTAAGGAGACTCTAGGGCAAAGGTAACAGCCCCCAGGAAGTTTTATAATACAGGTTCTCTGACATTTCTCTTGTTCATCTAGGCCTTATGCTATTTCCAGGCAGTGGGAGAAAGGTGTATCTTCCAACTAGTGACAGTTTGTGAGAGTCAGACACGTGCACTGTCCCCCAGATCTTACCCCATGCATGTGTGCCTAGCACCTGTTCCTCTGTTAGGATGCTTTTCTTTGCTACATGAAATTTCTGTCTCCTCCTTTGCAGTATGGACCTCAGAGGGGTAACAGGTCAGGGTACTATTTAAAGATAAATTGCTTTAATGGGAAAGCAGGGTTTTGGAGCCATCAAGCTTAGAGAAAGGTTGAGAAAGGAAGACAGTGCCTTGCCTTTTCACATTCTTCTTCTGGCTCATGTTATTGCCAGTAGTATTGATAGTGTGGGTATCTACCTTGTCTGTGTAGGTGCGAGCGTGCATTTGTGTATATGTGAGTGCCGGTGTTGGGACTTGGACTTAGGGCCTGAGTGGCACTCTTAGCTCTTCCATTCAAGGCTGGGACTCTACCACTTGAGCAACTCCTTCATTTCTGGCTTTTTGATGGTTAATTGGAGATAAGAGTTTCATGGACTTTCCTGCTTAGGCTGGCTTCAAAATGAGCATAATATCCCATTTAACTCTTGAGAATATCCTTAATGCAACTTATTAGCTAACTTATTATCTGTTTGTTCCTCCTTTTTTTTTTTTTTTGGTGCTGGTCCTAGGGCTTGAACTCAGGGCCTGGGCACTGTCCCTGAGCTTTCATGATCAAGGCTAGTGCTCTATCGCTTGAGGCACAGCTCTACTTCCAGCTTTTTAGTAGTTAGAGATAAGAGTCTCACAGATTTTCCTGCTCATGCTGGTTTTGAACCATGGTCTTCAGATCTTAGCCTCCTGAGTAGCTAGGATGACAGGCATGAGCCACTAGCATCCAGCATCCTTCTTTTTTTCCAGATTAAAAATACTGTCTCGTAGCTGTAAAGGGGATTGTGGGACCAGCACCATGCCAGCCTGGTCTCCATAGCCTTGAACATGTTCACTGCATGTCTCCAGCTGTTCCTGTAGAATCATATGTATATATTCTACTTGGTGAAAATTTCCTTACCTTATTCTGCATACTTTAGTAGAAAATGGTAGTTTTTTTTTTAAATGCAACAGTTCCTATTCAGAAACCAGTAAATTTATTTAATATTTTGCATGAGGTTGCTAGGCATTTTTAAAGACTCATTTAATTAGCTGCTCTTTAAAATACTGAGAAAAAGTGTTTTATTATTGTTCTGTTCTCTCTCTCTTTTTAAAATCTCATTTTATTCCCCAATACTCTGATGAAGTTATAAGTATAGTGGGCGTTTGAAACTTTTTTGTGTGTGCTGGTCCCACAGTTTGAACTCAGGCCACAGGTGTTGTCCCTGAGTTTTTTGCTCAGCGTTAGTGCTTTACCACTTGAGGCACAGCTTCATTCTTTGCTGGTTAATTTGAGATCAGAGTTTCGTAGACTTTCTGGCCCAGGCTGGCTTTGCATTGCAATCCCCAGATCTCAGTCTCCTGAATAGCTAGGATTCCAGTTCTGAGCCACCAGTTCCTGGCAAGGTGTTTGAAACTTTTTAGTCTGACATTATTATATCCGCATGCCTTTAATATTGGTTATCATAGGAAGGGTCTAAATTATTTTTGTTTCTTTTTAGTTTGTGGGAAATATCCGAAAGTCACTTCAAGTACCCAATTGTAGAGCAATACTTGAAGACAAAGAAAAACTCTAATAATTTAATCTTCAAGTATATCAGCTGCCGGCTAGTGACACTCATAATCATATTGTCAGCAAGTGTCTACCTGAGCTATTACTTCAGCCTGTCCTCGCTCTCAGATGAGTTTGTATGCAGCATCAAGTCAGGAATCCTGAGAAATGACAGCGCCATCCCTGATCAGTTCCAGTGTAAACTTATTGCAGTCGGCATCTTCCAGCTGCTCAGCTTCATTAACCTCATGGTGTATGTTCTGTTGGCTCCTGTGGTAATCTACACGCTGTTGGTTCCCTTTCGGCAGAAGACAGATATTCTCAAAGTATATGAGATCCTGCCCACATTTGATGTCCTGCATTTCAAATCTGAAGGGTACAATGACTTGAGCCTCTACAATCTCTTCTTGGAGGAAAATATCAGTGAACTCAAATCATACAAGTGCCTGAAGGTACTGGAGAATATTAAAAGCAATGGTCAAGGGATTGATCCAATGCTACTTCTTACCAATCTTGGTATGATCAAGATGGATATTGTGGATGGCAAAATGCCCAAGTCAGCAGAAACCAAGGAAGAGGAGCAGCAGAGCCAAATTGCTGAGCTCACAGGTAGGGTCAACTCTCCAAACCCAGCCACAGAGTTCCTAGAGCATCTTTGCTGCATTTCCTTATTGGTATTGACCATTATTATCATTTGAGCCATTAGCCCGTCATTGTCCTGTCCTAGGGGAAACCCAAGACTGAGGCAGGGGGGAGGAATGAATTGATGCTACCCTTGTGCTTCCAAGGAGAAAGAACGTTGTGCTTTTTCTGATGGTGTGCCTCTTGTTTCTCAGTCTCTCTGCCTAATCTTCGCCATCTTGCTCCAGCACTCTTCCTGGTTGTGTTTCTTGCTTATATTTGTCTTGTCATATGGCTTTTGCCTCTGTAATCTCTGGTTCCCTTGTTGTCTCTGACCTTCTCTTTAAAGGGACTGAGAATTTATCAATTTAATTACTGCTTTGATTTCACTGTGCTTTGAAAAGTTAGGATACAAAGCAAAACATAGTGAAGCCAAGTATTAAAGTGTGAGAAAAAAGTTGTTGCTGGATGCTGGTGGCTCACACCTGTAATCCTAGCTGCTCAGGAGGCTAAGATCTGAGGATCATGGTTCAAAGCCAGCCCAGGCAGGAAAGCAAATTGTTTTGTGTTCTAGTATTGAGGCTTAAACTGCAGGCTTCTCAATATTGCTTGGCTTTTTTGCTCAAGGCTGACACTCCACATCTGGCTTTTTGTCTTGAGATTTGACTGGTTGGGCTGGCTTTGAAACTTGATTCCCAGATCTCAGCCTCTTAACATAGCTAGGATTATAGGCATGAGCCTCTGGAGCCTGCCAAGAATGTTTTTCACAGAGAGAAGTTGATTAGTACCAGTATTTTCTACTACATCTATGTCATGTGTTTTCAATTTTGACAGATTTGAACCTGCACAATGAAACTAAAGCAAATAATGAAGAGAAGAATGCTCGCCAGAGACTTCTGAATTCTTCCTGCTAAAGTTTTGTTTTGAAGAGGAAATCCCTTCAAATCTCTTGGCTAAGGCACCTCTGTTGGGGTCACAGCTGGTACAGAAAGTGGCATTTGGTAGAAATAGTCTCTCATGAACACAATGGTCAACAAATGTTATAAAAGAAGCAACATACAATATACAAGAAGCAGCATTAAACTAGCAAGCCATATGTATGTGTGTCCTCATCGATGAGCCGTGGAAGAACTAGGAAGAATGGCAAAGGGCCTTTTAGAGCTTTGAAGAGACAACTTTCTCTGCCAACAGTACAAGACATAGAGCTACTTGAAATAAGCAAAAGATTTGTTTTGCTTTATGAAATAATAATAAACATATCAAAACTAGACACCAGTGCCTCATGTCCTGTAATCCTAGCTATTCAAGAGGCTGAGTTCTGAGAATCATGGTTCGAAGACTGCCCAGGAAGGAAACTCCATGAGACTCTTATTTCCAATTACCTAGCAAAATGCTGGACGTGGAGCTGTGATAAAGCTAATGGACAGCCTGTAGGCCCTAAGTTCACTTCCCAGTATTGGCATATATACAAATAATAATGATAGTAATAAACATATCAGAATATAATTTAATAGTAAATTCATGTGTACCTTTACTCAACATTTGACAAGAAAAGAATTCTCTGGCTAACTGCAGGCCCAGAGGTCAACTTGTGCTTGGCAGGGCCCTGTGTTGGCAGCAGCCTGGTGCTCTGGCCCTGCCACGCCTGAATTTCCTTTACCATTACTTGCCAGATGCTGCTAATTATACCTTGTATCTGCTGATGGTTGCCCTCTTCTCTGCAGGGCAACAGCCCAGCACTGCTCTGAGTGAAATCACACTTAATGAGACAGAGTTGAAAGGATGTTCAGTTCATACCATACTCAGTTCAAGAAAGAAGCCCCAAAACATTGCCAAGTGGAGAAATCTGAATTTATAGATGATAACTCAGTCACTTCCAAAGAGATCGACAGGGTGTTACGAAAGCATTTGAAGCAGGATTTTACTTAAACACATGAACAACACAGGAATATTTACAGAAGCCTAATATGACCAGGCACATCAATGACATTTGTTGTCTGGTTGGAGCCAAGAACAGCTTAACAGTTGATTTGGTTTCTATTTAAGCATAGTCTTTAAAAATGCATTCTAAGCCTTGTGCTGGTGGTTCATGCTTATAATCCTAGCTATTGAAGAGGCTGAGATCTGAGGATTGTGGTTCAAAGCCAGCCTAGGCATGAGTCTGTGAGATTCCGATCTCCAATCACCAAAAAGCTGTAAGTGGAGTCATAGTTCAAGTGTTAGTGCACTAACCTCCTTGAGCAAAAACACTCGAGGACAATACCCAGGCTCTGAATTCAAGCCCCATGACCAGCACCCCCAAAAAAATTTTTTTAACGTATACAATGTTAGGATTTAGGTAATTGAGAAGAACTTGCTAGCATTGATGAAGAATTCGAGAGTAATATTACAAATGGATGTCCAAGTCTAGTATAAGCATTATTTCATAAACATTTAAGGCTGATTCAGAATATGTTAAAAACTCTATAGTCTGGACATGGAAATCTATTAGATGTTCACATTTTATAAATAAAGACTGTATTGTCTATGTTCCTTGCATTTTTATCTTTGGTCACAAAAGTGGCCTTCACAGTTTACTTGGTCTTTAGGAACCATTATTAACCTTCATGCAGCTGCTTTCTAGTGAAGAACAGAAGAGTTTAGAAACTATTGTCTGCCCTTCAGGGTACACAGAATCACAGGTTTCATTTGTACTTCTGTGACAGTTCTGAGATGAAAACTAATGATATGAATGCAACCAGTTCTTTAAATTATTCACTTATTACATGACATGTATTACAAATAAATTGTAGTGTGTTAGAAATGATGTTAGCCCAGATAACTGACTTTGTTATACTTTATGTCACTTACTGAACCATTCTGTCCTAATTCTCTACTGTGGTTTTTTTTTTCTTTGAAATATTTTTCTAGAATGTGGTTTTAAAAAATACCATCTTCCCGGTAAGCTCCACCTAATTTTTCATTTTTATTTTACTTTTTTGTCAATCATGGGGCTTGAATCTCAAGGCCTGGGTGATGTCCCTGAACTCTTTCACTCAAGGCTAGTACTCTACCATTTTGAGCCACAGCGCCACTTCCAGCTTTCTGGTGGTTAATTGGAGAATACAGTTTCACAGACTTTCCTGCCCTGGTTGGCTTTGAACTGTGATCCTCAGATCTTAGCCCCCTAAGTAACTAGGATTACAGGAATGAGCCACTGGTCCCCAGCTTCTAATTTGTTTTTTTGAAGTGGTAAAAATGGATGTTTTAGGAGAGCAGGAACTTCAACCCTACCACTTACAATCCTTAAATTAAGAATGTGTATAGTTGGAGTCCTTGGTCTCTCTTTGCTTCATTTTCCCATTCTGAGGATGGGAATTCACAGTAGGCACTGTTGTGCAGACAGGAATAGATAACCGCACATCTGAGGGCTGCAGAGTCCAGTACTAGGCAGCCATAGGAGGCAGGCCTGGAGGGGAGAGTCCCACAGGGAAGGTCCTGCCATAATACTGGAGATGCTCCATTCTTCCTTTTCCTGCCATAACACCTCCATTCTTCCTTTTTCCCCCATCTTTTTTTTTTTTTTGTCGGTCATGGGGCTTGAACGCTGGGCTTGGGCGCTGTCCCTGTGCTCTTCAGCTCAAGGTGAGCACTCTGCCACTTGAGCCACAGCGCCACTTCGATTTTCTGGTGGTTTATTGGAGATAAGAGTCTCATGGTGTTTCTTGCCCAGTCTGGTTTTTAACCGTGATCCTCAGATCTCAGCCTCCTTAATAGCTAGGATTTTAGGCGTGAGCCACCGGAGCTCAGCTTACTATACATTTTCTTAAAGGCAGATGGTCCTCTTAAAGTTATTTTACTATTATTATTAGCTTACATTAAGTTATACTCCTCTTAAAATTCTTTAGCTACAAATCTCTGTTGAAGTTTGAGCACAACAGAGTGATTTTGCACCAGAAGGGCTCTAGTGCCATCTCTGTGCCTTTCCCCATGAGGGAAGGGAGAACATCCCTGTGGCCATGTGGAGCTTTGATGAACCATGGAGAGGGTTCCAGAAGGCTAGTGTGGGGTCTGGCAGTATTTTGGCCTAGAAAGTGAAATCTTCCATTCACTACCTAACCTGGAGGACTATCTTCAGGCTCCAGTTTCTGACGGCAAATCAAACTGCTTTTATAAAGCACGCACAGCTTTTCACAGGGTGCACAGGTCTGAAGCGAGCTGGTTCACTTGGTGAGGGGCTGCTGTACCTGCAGTGAGCCACAGGATGCAGAGCTCACCTGCTGCAGACAGTGCTCACCTGCCGCAGACAGAGCTCACCTGCCGCAGACAGAGCTCACCTGTGGCACCTGGGACCAGCACAGGTCAGTCTGAGATTGGTGTGCCAGAACACCTGGGATCTTACCAGGCAGAGGTCATTCCTGTGGAGGTGAAGACTGTAGGCAGCATTTTTAAAGCTACAGGCACTCAGAGTGGTCTGACTGTAGGCAGTACATACCACTTTAAATATTCTCCAGAGGTCTTTGTCATCTAAGATAAGTGGCTCATGGCTGAAAATCAAGCTCCACTCAGAGGAGCTGCCTCTTGTCCTTGAGAATGTAATTCTACAACCTTAGAGCAGCGGTATGTTTGTTTATGTAACATGTTTGCACACTTTCGAGTGTTGAGTTGATGTCATTTTTCTAGAGTCAGACTGAGCGGAATCAATAAGGAGGGAGTGGCAGGAGTGTGTGTGACAGCCAGGCCACCAGCCCTGGTTGCTGTTCCCTTCTAGATCACAAGGCTTACACATTAGTACCGTCTTCCAGTTCAAGCCTAAGGGGCAAGAGACACTGGTAGCTCAAGCCTACCTATTATCCTATCTACTCAGGAGGCTAGATAGGAATCTAATTCAAAGCGGGTGCGGCGGGGGGGGGGGGGGGGGGGTGGCGGTCATCCTGTTTTGTATTTGTACTGTGAACAAGCTAGGAACTTTCCAGTTCAGTGGGTCTGGTTTGCATGTTGGTTACATATCAATTTCCTCTTTACACAAGTGTAAGCTGAGGTGGGGGGGGGTCATTGGGCCCCTATGACTAGTCCTTCGGGAATTAGTTTACCTGTAAGAATCAGATGGAAGGTGTAGGTTTGCATTCAGTTTATTCTGTGCATGTCAGTCCAGAGTAAATAGGTCTGTGGGAGCGAGTGTTTTTATTTACTGCTGGCTTGCCAGCATTCTATAAATACTTGTTGAACAAAAACATGACCCCTTAGGAAAAAGTGTGTTAACAACTCTTAATCTGATCCTCTGTAAGGGAGGGGAGGCAGGGGAACATTGAGCCTCTTGGTTGAGAAGGAAATCTTTCTGCAAATGAATAGCTTTCCATTGTAAATAATGATAATTTTCAGTGTTTTAGTGTGGAATGAGTCATGACCACTTTCCAAGTTCAATACAAGTTCAATGTTGTCTTGCAGTGACTGCAGAAATTGAAGTTTTAAAGGTCTTGATCTCAGTAATTGTCCAGAATAAGCCTCTTAAAAGGAGATGGGAATTGAAATGTGCAATTACCACTAACTGAGGTTTTTATCTGAGCCTTAGGGATGAAATGGCTCTTTAGGCAATCATTGGCACTTCAGCCCTATTTTTCACAAGTATGGAGAAACCTCTCAAAGATGTATAAAGATGTTATTGTGTTATTCATGGAATATAATAGATAATTTGTGATTGGTCTTCCTGCCTGCTTTAAATTAAATGTATTGTGTTTTTGGTTCCCCTTTGACTGTTAAAAAAAAAAGTACTGTCACTTAAGCATGCAGTTTGTGATCAGTAGTTGTTCTAGTTCCTGAAAGTTATAAGTATCTTGAAGTGCTTCTTTCCCTGCCCTACAGAAGAAAAACTTCCTTGTAGGATTTTCAGTGTTACAAGTGATCTCTACAAAAAGGAAAAGGAAAATAAATACCACAACACAAAAAAAATGAAACCATCAGCTCTTCTTTGACAAGTTGGCTTCTTGAAAAGTATCATAATTGCAACTTAATGGTCTTTAGTAAAGTGGTACTCTATAAGTTAAATTCTTTTTCATGACTAAAACCTTTTAAAGAAAAGTCCACATGTTCTTTTTGCTGTATCACTTGTTATGAATGCTGACAGCAGATGGAGAACAACAAAAATTAACATTTTTTATTTTATTCCATAAAGTCGTGAAGATGAGATCAAATGATAGTGTTAGAAAATGATCCTTTTAAAAAAAGTTTTGAAATCTCTGCATATTGGTGTGTATTACTACTAAACTGCATTCATGATTCCCTGTAGTTCAC